CCCCCCCCACCCACCTACCCAAAATTCCAGAAAACTGCCAGAATAAATTATAAAGTGAGACAAAATGCACATTTATAATTATTGAAAGAAAAGCACTCACAGGAACGACACGTGGCTTGTTGCTCACACTTTTGAGGGAGAAGGACTTTCGGGCCGAGGCAGCGCCTGGACGACGCATTTCGCTCTTGCATCGGGAGAGATGGGAGGCTATTGGCTGATGAAGATACCAGGTTGCAGAAATGGGAAAAAAAGATAGTAGAGTCACATTGGCGAATGCTTACTGAATACACACAGACAATTCGGAGACAAATGGGTTAACTAGATAGGACCACTCAAATCAGAGTGTCTCAATGGGAATCACTCATGAGGTGGAGCACTGAAGACACGAGACAACACAGATTTGAACCCGACAAAGTGAGGTTTAGATAATTAATTAGATGGTATCTTATTCCTCTACCCGAGGTTTGGTGAACGAATTTCCAATACGAATCAATCCCATCTGAGACAACTCACTAAATCTGAGTTTTTATACCGACAAAAGGTTGAATCATTATTTTGCATAAGCTCGAGATACAGTTAGTAATTAAATTTAACAATTGGAAATAAGCATAATTGAATATCTCAACAATGTGCATGTTGTGTTTAGGATTGCAACCAACCACAAGTCGTCTGCACTAATTTTGGACTCCTTAGGGCTAGCCTCAACCCGTGAGGTCAAATTTTCGCGCTGTTGTTGCCAACACACTCCCCGAAAACACAGCCCCTTAAACCGGTATCTCACCACACCTTCTAACTCCACTAGGTTCTAGAGCAAGTCAGCAGCTATTCGATTCCCCGCGAAACGAAAATAAGTGCCCCCCCCNAAAAAAAAAAAATGCCCCCCCCCCCCCCCCCAATTTGAGAACTGGATAGACAATCAGCGATAAATGCAAAGTAAATTCCAACCTGAAAAACTCATCAGAAGTCGACACGCATACCCCCCCCCCCTCCGGCCCCAAGTTTTGGCAAACAATTCATATCGATAATAGGTTTGCATGAACCCCACATATATTTATTGATCTCTCCAGAGGGCAATACACCTCAGCAAGTATATTTGGACTGACCTCATCTGAAGAGGAAGAGCCAACAGAGGAGGTAGTGGGGATTCCAATAGGAAGATTTGAATCCGAAACGCGGGCATCGGAGTAGGCGGCAGGCGAAGAGGGAGATGTGAAAGGGACACAGGATTTAATGTCGGCGATATAGGTAGTGACGGCAGAGTTGGTGATTGAAGCACCGACAAGTTGATTGAAAGCTGGTGCCACGGCCATATCCACCAAACCTCCCCCTCCTCGCCAACCGACCTGGACGGTCTCCAAACAAGACATTACCTCGTAATGGTAGATCTGGAGAAATAGAAAAGAGGGTTTAACACTTCAATAAAGTGCTGCGGCTCACAAACTTTGCCTTAATCTTCAAAGTAAAATTGAAATAGGCAAATTATAATCTCTCTGCCTGACGATGTTCACATTCGTTTTACGCTTACCAAACAAATTGAGCTGATTTTCTAAGGCAACTAAATATCTTTCATTAAGGCTCAGACACACCACTAAAATTGCCATCTCCCTCCTGTTGGCAGATACTTTGAAAGTTTTGGCTATCCTAAATGACACATATCAGATCGGATTACTCAGAACGTGATTAAATTTTAGGCAGCAATGAATCCATTTCCCTAACACCGGTCGGGGTGAGAAGACGCACCTTAAGCTGTTCAGTTGTTCCAACATAGAGACATTGTCCCTCAGGATGAAAGGCTATCCTTCGAATGGCAGAAGCGGCCAATTCGATGCCGGAGACAGCCACCTGGCTGAAGGTCTCGAGATCAAAGACCCGGACAGTACGATCCGCTGAAGCGGAGGCTAGGAGGAGAACTGTGGGATGGTAGGCGATGCTGGTCACCGGGGCTGTGTGACCAGAGAGCTCGGCCAACTGCTTTCCTGCGGCGAGATCCCACACCTGGAATAAAAGATATGACATTAATAATTTAATTAGTCCCAGTTGGATCATAAAATTACGATCTCGGTTAGGGGGGGGGGGGGGAATGGGTGGGTCAAATAAAACTAATCCAGTGCGTGAAATGATTCGTTCGATTCAAGATAATCTAGTTTTGAAAAAGAAAAAAAGCAAAATATGCCATTCGTGCTAAATTTCAGAGGTTATGAACCGTCAAATTCAACTAACTGGCCAAGAACAGTCAAATATCATAGCCATGTGAAGCCCTGGCAACCTGAGTGAACTATAGACCAACAGGAGCGTGTTCTAGGTGCATCTAAAGTTTAAATAAATAAAGATCCATGAAAGGTTAAAGTAATTTATGTGCCCTAATCAAAATGGAATATTAAATTAAGAATGAAGCCATTATTCAACTTGATTAGCAACAAAATGCAAAAAAAGAATAGCAAGGCGAAAGCGCAAGTGATTTTGAACCAATAAGAACCGCGGCTAATCAACTGTGAAAGAACAGTTGTGAGGTAGTAAATCCGAAGGGAGGCGGAGGAGGAGGAGGAGAAGGACTACCGTCCTTGCAAGATAATCTTCCACCAGGACACGTGTGACTTAAAGCTAAGGTTGGGAGTAAGTCTTGCATCAACTTGCTTTCTTTTTTCCATAGATGTATGATTACCTCGCTGTCTCTCTCTCTCTCTCAAACGCGTGAATTATAAGGAAAAAAATAGATAGAAGCAAAAAAGGAAACAAGCAAATTTGGCAGTAGCGCTGTTGTTGACCCAATAATAAATCAGGATGTCACTTCCATGAAAGAAAGCTAGCGACTTCGCGTTGTTAATAGTCAATTTTGCAGTGAAGAGTGAAGAAGAATAATAGGAAATTCCACTGGCATGATTCTAAAATCATAATTTACCACTTAAAGAGACGTACATCTAATTGAATTTTTAATCGACATAGGTATAGGTTATTTGAGGTAGATCCTTCAGAACAATTTTAGACAAGATCAAAAGTGCAATAAGTAGAATAGGGGTGGGGGGGGGGGGGGGGGGGGGGGGGGTAATTGGGCCTCCGTACTATACAAAGGACACTCCTATAGTCATGAAAACTAAAATTCACCAATCCGTCATAGATTTCTGAGGTAATGCCTTTTTATTTTTTTAAAGAGGGGTTTGGTCTGAATTCAGATGTCTATGTGGAATTGTAGGCCTACACAATGAAAGACGGTAGAAAGCAAGGGGCCACGAGATTCGATATCTTGCCACACACTAGGGGAAAAGTCAATGATGGTTGTAAGGCCAGAGTTCCAGAGCACGTTTACTACGGTTCCAACCTATAGTGCTTTCGATTTAGGCGTTACGAATGTTCGTGTCAAATTAGATTAGCATTAAATTGGAAGGCAAATAGAAACCAAGACAAGGTGATTCATTAAACATTTATGAAGGAAACATGTCTGTAGTACAAGCGCCCAACATGTTGGAGGGTGTATGTTCTAGCACAAACAGGGCAAGTCCGCAAATGTCGGAAGGAGAACAGGAAGACAAGTACCCAGGGTATAAGTCAAAAAAAAAATTCATGTAGCGCGTGAATCAGTATGTGCTTTAAAGGTCACCTGATTTATAATTCGAAAAGGTCCTCTCGTTTTGTTCACAAAAGGAGAAACCGAACTCGAAAGTGAAATTGCGTGACACAGGATAAGCAAGGCAAACGCCAAATACAAGATGCGGAAATTTTACGCAGCACATAAAATAGAAATTGAACCAATGAAGGCTTTACCGGTTAGTGTGCACGGTTACCTGGGATGCGAAAAATAAGTTGCAATATATTTCACTACTTTAAAAGTCTACCTGTAGCTAAATATGGCCCCAGCTTATAAACCGAAATGAAATGGAAAATGATATAACGAGAATCAGACCATTCATGAGAAATAAGAAGACAGTGTCCTTTGCTATCGGTACATGTATAATTTCATTGATTTTAAGCCTATTGCAGTGATTTATCGATTATTTTTTTTCCTCGAACATATCTAAAAGCTGGTTGGCTAACTAGACACCCAATCATTGGCCACCCACATAAACTAACAAAAGGAAAACATTTTTTAAAGCTTACAATGAAATAACACTTAACCCCTCTTATTGTGAATATAAACTAATAGGGAGTAAGGGGTTCCCAATCTTATCCCTCTTTTTACTCCCATTTTCGGAATGTTTTGGAATTCCCAATTGCGTGCCTAAAGTAACGCACGTGTGTAGTAAAGAGCATTAATATCAGAACTTGCAAATGCCAAAATTGAATGAAAGCATTCGCCGTACCTATAAGCAAAAAAATTTGGTTTTCAGTGCACTTAGCGTATTTGGGTCATTAAAAAGAGAAAGTCTAGTATTTCGATTTATCTCTTTTTGATTTTACCAAGCTAATAAGTGACGAGATTAAACCGACTCTTCTTTACCAAAGCAACCCAATGATTGTCAGCAAATGATCTACAGACCTGGCGCAATTCACAACGTCTGCTTTCTTCTGTCAAGCAAATTGGCATAATAGGCAATTGTGAAAATGGAAGTGGATGATGAAATTAGTCCAAGATAACTAAAATTCGCTGAGATTGTCCTTCAGTTGCCCCAAAACCTAACACCTCAGGCACTATGAAGGTGTAAAGGACAATGGAGGTGCAAATTACGACTTAAACGACAAAAGCGCCTAAATTTCAAGAGGGAAGTCTCCTGCTTTCAAAAGTGCAAAAACTGGAAGCCCGACACCTGCCTCTCGAAGTTTCATCTCTAATACGAAATTAGTTGACGTGCATTCTCTGATCAAAACAATTAACTGAAAATCAAGTGCGTTAAATTGAAGGAACTCGTTCTAATCAAAACGAAACGCCACAAAGGAAGTGACGGAAGGAACAAATAATAGGTCGAATCATCATCTGCCCGATATATATTGTCGAAACACTGCCATTGAAGTGAGATATGTAACGCGAAAATTGTGGGAACAACAATGCAGCATTTTGATGACTCGCCTCTATTCGTCGCTTCATAAACCACCCCCCAAATTTATTCGGAGCAAATAAAATAGCCTGGCAAGCACGGATTGGATAGTGGTAGACTGAAAGCACACAGAAAGATAAATAAGCACACATCTAAAATTCATGAGGGAAATAGGGGGCATAATTCAGGCCATTTTACTAACAGAGTAGTGAACAACTCACAATCAACTATAGACTTACCACCACACGGTGCACCCTGGGCAACGTATACTCATACGGCAAAAAAGTCTATTGACTGGCAGTTGACTTCTGACTTCAAACTACCCTCACCCCATTATATGTCATATTCGACTACTTCCATAGTACTCACCTCACATTTTCCAACCTTTGTGTCTGTCTCTTTTACATCTTTGGAACACTCTTCTGTTCCTCCCCCATCCTCTCGACTTGTTTCACTTTGATGTTACTCCTCCCCTCTGTGAAGCCTGAAGTCAACTAAAGGGCTAATGATAACTTTCACAACGCCTGCCATTCGATATAAATAATGTTCAACTACTTTTAAGAGAAATGAGCTTCATAACCAAAATGCTTCCTCCAATGAAAAATATGCATGGATACAATAGCGTATTATTTGCTCCTTTTAACTGGGCTGACAAAGTCCAGTGCCCACACAAAACGATGACCTCTCTCACACAGTAAAGTTAGCGAGGAGGGGGGGGGGGGGACTGAGCAGGTGAGAACCAGTTGTGGCATACCAAAAAAAAGAAATACTCACACGTAGCTCAGTCGCTATGATCCTTTCAAAACTGTAAAAAAAGCAGTGAGATAATACAGCAATTACCCAGGCATTGGAAATATCTGGGAACTAACTGCTGTTGCGCGCCAAGCAATTCGCAAGAGTTCAATGTAAGCGGGAATCAACTAAATCACAGCTGTCTTCAATGCCCAACTCTGAAATATTTCCGGATCAAGGCCACATTCCTGATGAGGAAGAAGAATCGAGAAAGAATATATATCAAAGTAAAGTGGGAGTAATTACTATGGCTGCGTTATGCATTATCAACAGAGCCTCATTTGCAGATAGCTTTGGAGGTAGTAAAATGCACGAAATGGTGGACAAATAAAAATTATTAAACAATAGGAACCCACCCCCCCCCCCACAACCTCCCCAAGGACTTGATTGAGGAGCACAGTTAAAGGATATTGCTAGGGGCAACCATAGGTGCGTCGTGAAAGGTCCAAACTCTTAAAGCCTTGAACGAAAGCGCTGGAGAGGACAAAGAGGGGCTAGAAATTCGGGTTCTAAGAGCTATGAAGAAAAAAAAACACCCAAGACACATTGTTAAGTAGAATTTTGTAACTGATTCGATTAGCAAGGCTGACTGAAGCAACAACCTGGGATACTGAATTAAGGGACGAAAAAGCCAGATCAATGTAAATTAAAAGGTAAGATGAGGGTGGGGGGGGGGGGGGGGGGGAGGAGGAGGGAGATAAAATGTGGACGCGAAGGAGAAAATGCTTAAAGATCTTACAGCGATTTAAGCTTGAAAGATGATTCTGTCAAGCGAATTCCATGGAATCACTAGGTTGAATAATAACCACACACATCTACGCAAAGCGCCATGATGGCTGCTACCCATAATCTAATCATTTAAATAGACCGATTGGGGTCTGGTGTGAAGGAAATATCCAATAGGCCCTTACAGAACAACAACTCCCTTTATCCACAAACCTTAGAAATTAACTCATTCTATGTCAACAAGAATCGGCATCACAAAGTGTGGCTCGCGCGAGAAATAGACCGCACTTGAAGTGGAATAACATTGACAGGTTAACTTTGGTTCATCTTCAAAGACAAGACAAGAGAGCCAAGCTTTTTCAACAGTAATCAAACCAATTTCCACACGACTCTGACACCTTTGGAGTAGTCAGCCACTCCGAGAGTAAGCTTATTAACAGTGAAATGGGCATGAAAGAAAAAGGTTGCCAATATATATATATATATATTTATATATTCGTAATACTTTAACTCGACCGTCGTCACCAGCTGAGATAATCCAATTGCCATCGGGGGAGAAGCGGACCATGTTGACTGAACCCGTGTGTCCTCGAAAGGTGTTGATACAGCCCTTTCGCGAGACATCCCACAGCTGAAAAAAAAGAACAATAAAGCAGGTCACTAGATACCACTGCGACATAATTTCATCGATTCTCTACAGTTTCGAGCAATTAATAATAATAAGTAAAATTAAAAAATAAGAGGATAAATTAATTCCTTAGGGAAACCACTGAGAAACAATCCTTGGGGTCAACATAAATCAATGGGGGGGGGGTCGAAGTAAGGATTTCCTGTTCACCAAACAAAGAGCAGTAAAAATGAATGACACCTGTACAGATTAATTGCCATTTAAAATTCTAATTACATCTAAAATAACAGAGAATGACTAAATTAGTCATTACATAATCGGGGAATACGTACTTGAGGTGAAGAAAACAATGATACTCGAAGGATTTTATTTGGCATAAAATAATGGAAAATTGCCGATACAGAACGCACTAAGCAATATAGATGTGGCGAAGGTGACAGAAGGAGAGATTTACGATTTTAGAACTAACCAATAAAAAAAACACAATTTTATACGAGATTGGAATAACAAAAAAATGTAATTAGAGAGGGGGGGTCAAGTACAGGTAGTAGATGGCTTGTTGAATGCACTTCCCCTCCCAAAATAGCCCGTGAAATGCCAACACAATGAACAGACTAAGCGCGCGCGCGCAAGTTAATCGCCACTTTCATTAGTGTGTTAAAGCCACCTACAAGACAAAGGCAGGCCGCTTTGCAAGCGAGGATGTGCTAATGAAAAGCAAAAAAACCAAATCCACCAATCACATTTTGTTAAGTGAACGTAGTGAAAATTACACCGCCCACCGATTGGCTCGTTGCATGAAAAAAAAACGCGCGAAGTGATACAAACTACAAGGGGAATTAAAAGCAGCTTCGATGCTCGATTAGGAGGCGATTTGTCAAAAAATGCAAAAAAAAATAAACTAATCATGTGAATGGGGAGAGAGAAAGAAAGTACGAGCAAAATAAACCATGGAAGTAAATAAATAAGACACACACACAAAAAAGAAAACATGGCGAATGGTTACCTTGACTGTAGCGTCTGCAGAGCCGGAAGCAATAAAGTTGCCGTGTGGATGAAAGTCCAGCGACTGCACCGATGCAGAATGGCCTGTCAGGGCTCGGGCCACTGGGCATGAAGCAAAAAAAAATTAATTAAAGTAAAATCAATTAAATTGCATATGGAGTTTGCAAATTAAAGAATATATATATATATATATATATATATATATATATATATATATATATATATATATATTTATCCCGTCTAACCCGGGGTTTAAATTAATAGAAATCAGAACAGATTTGACTTTGCTCTCACCAACTGTAATTGCCGAAGAAAAGTGCTAGGGGGAGGGGGACTTTATAACGGAAATCGGTTTATCGTTGGTAGGATCAGATGAGGCAAAATTCGACTAATCTGCAAGTACACCATTTGCTCAATCTACAACCGCCTCATAAAAGTTGGTGTGAGCATTTATTTATTTATATCAAATGGCAGGCGATCTGATAGTTATCGATAGCCCTTTAGTTGACTTCAGGCTACACAGAGGGGGAGGAACATCAAAGTGGAAAAAAGTCGAGAGGGGGGGGGGAGACAGAAGAGTGCTTCAAAGACGAAGGTAGAAAAAAGGTGAGGTGAGTACTGTGAAAGTAGTCGAATATGGCATACATTGGGGTCATGGAAGTTTGAAGTCAGAAGTCAACTGCCCATTGATAGACTTTTTTGCCGTATGAATATACGTTGCCCAGGGTGCACCACGTGGAGGTAAGTCTATCGCACACCCCATGAATTTAAAGAAAAAATAGCTTATATTGCACTTAACACCTGCAATTCGATTATTTATTATTTCCGATGACTAAAACTCTGGAAAAGAATGGCGGCAATTATGGCGCAAGGTCATAGATTCTTTATTTGACAAATCAATATTATTGCAGACGATTAACTATTACTTCACCAACTGGATTAGTACAAGTTGTACATTACTTCAAACAACACTAGAGATTTTCTGGACCAAACTTTCATTCGTCCTAACACCCTACTTAAATTCCACTGATAGTTTTGTGAAGATGTTAGTCCCACTTCAATGCTTTGAACACACTCGTCGTTTTACAAACTTTAAAATCTTGGTAAGTCCAATAAGTTATTATTAAATTGCAGGTTATCACAAATCTAACCACATTAAGAGATTTATCGTTAAGAAATATATTTATATCAAATGGCAGGCATTTTGATAGTTATCATAAGCCCTTTAGTTGACTTCAGGCTTCACAGAGAAGAAGGGACATCAAAGTGAAAAAAATTCGAGAGGGGGAGGGGGAACAGAAGAGTATTTCAAAGATGTAAAAGAGACAGACACAAAGGTAGAAGAAAGGTGAGGTGAGTACTGTGAAGCAGTCGAATATGATATACAGTGAGGTGATGGTGTTTTGAAGTCGGAAGTCAACTACCGGTTTATAGACTTTTTTGCCGTATGAGTATACGTTGCCCAGGGTGCACCACGTGGAGGTAAGTCTATCGCTCACTCGTTATCTATTTTAGGAAATAGATATANCTCACCAACTGTAATTGCCGAAGAAAAGTGCTAGGGGGAGGGGGACTTTATAACGGAAATCGGTTTATCGTTGGTAGGATCAGATGAGGCAAAATTCGACTAATCTGCAAGTACACCATTTGCTCAATCTACAACCGCCTCATAAAAGTTGGTGTGAGCATTTATTTATTTATATCAAATGGCAGGTGTTTTGATAGCTATCATTGGCCCTTCAGTTGACTTCAGGCTTTACAGAGGGGAAGGAACACAAAGATGAAAAAAAGTCGAAAGGGGGGGGGAGGAACAGAAGAGTGTTTCAAAGATGTAAAAGAGACAGGCATAAAGGTAAAAAAAGTGAGATGAGTTCTGTGGAAGTAGTCGAATTTGGCATACAGTGGGGTGATTGTAGTTTGAAGTCAGAAGTCAACTGCCGATCAATAGACTTTATTTGCCATATGAATATACGTTGCCCAGGGTGAACCACGTGGAAATAGGTCTATCGCACACCCCTGTTAGTGTGAGTATAATAAATATAAATTGAGCTCAAGGCAAGAAGTCAAGCTATAGTCAATAACCAAACGAAAAGACACTGACATGGTGTTCGGTACATGCAACCTCTCCGCCCCCCCCCCTCTGATTGGAGCCTGCTCTAAAAGTGCGACCATATCTTGTCCAAATCAACAAAACTATTAAAAAGCCCGAGAGTGGTCAACTACTACCTGATCTCCTCTTTCCTTTTACCTGTGCGCTTTTATTTTTTATTCATGCAAAACGCACGAGGAAAGTGTCAGTAGTTGCAATTATATACGTACTACAAAAAGTCTGACCCAAATTATACTACACAAATTTCCCCAAACCGGGGTGTGCGATAGACTTACCTCCATGTGGTGCACCCTGGGCAACGTATATTCATACGGCAAAAAAGTCTATTAACTGGCGATTGACTTCTCACTTCAAACTACCATCACTCACTCTATGCCACATTCGACTATTTCCACAGTACTCACCTCACCTTTGTTCTACCTTTGTGTTTGTCTCTTACATCTTTGAAACACTCTTCTGATCCCCCCCCTCTCGAATTTTTTCGATTTGATGTTCCTTCCTCTCTGTGAAGTCTGAAGTCAACTAATGGGCTAATGATAACCATCAAGACGCCTGCCATTTGAT